TACTTAAAAAGTACCTGATCTGAGAACTGTGATTTCAAAGTGCAAGAAAAGGAACTTACTGATACTTCCTCTCCTATTTCTAATGCTAATCTTTCATCTCTCATTAAGAAGCAAATTTCAGATGCCATCACCCTGTTGATAGCTGACTTATTTTACTTCAAAGAATCAACTTAGCTTAGTACTTCTAAACTTACTGAGGAATAAATGTGCCCATTACTGTCCTAGCTACCATGGAATAGGAATTACTAAGATGTGCTTTTAGCCTAAGTTCTCTCAAAGCAAAGTTCAGGGCAAGAATTGAAGCACTGACACTATATCTGGGGACAAGGTTCAAGGTCAATTGATGTGCATTTAAAAAAATTAGAACTGAAGCAAGAAAAAATGAGAAAGAATTTATGGAGTTACTCTATTGGCTATTTCTTTACTGTATGTCTCAATGAGAAACCATTGGATGTTGTGAGGATTGTTTTCTAGCACACAGCACTTTCTCTGGAGGGGCTCCATAGAAAACAGCATTTCACAGTAGTTCACAGAAGGGAGAAGAAGGAGGAATTGATCCACCTGGCTCTTTTCCATCTCCTCCACTTGGGTTAGGGTTGATGCCTTCAGACCTCCAGTTCACATCATCTGACCTCTCGGTGTCCTCTCAGTAAGGCAGATGCCATGTTCCCTAGCATGACACTTCATTCAACTCCAAAGAAGGGAACGTGAGTTGAATAGAGCTTAACCTGAGGCTTCAAATTAGATTCCATCCAGCTAATTCAGGAATCTCAGTTAGGGTACTGGACCAGGTGGCAGTGGTATCAGTGTAATCTGGGGGGCAGGTGATGGATTGGATAAATGAAGCAGTCGTAGGTATTAGAGGTGGAACAGAAGGCTTGTTTAATACAGTCAACTCCTTACTCCACCACGTCTCATGCCTTCCAAAACATCTGGCCGTTGACTACATTATGAGACACTTGTTTTTCTTTTCATTAATCAATCAATTAATTATTTTCCCTCAGACAATAAAAATACTTTTATTGCTTCCCAAAAAGGACAGTTACAAGTCCAACTAGATACAGATACAGAAACTTCTTCAACGTATTAGCTTAACGTCATGTCTTGGAGGCATAAGGTGACAAGATGCTCAAAAAAGCTATGGTGTCAGCTACTGATCTATGAGATTAAGTCAATCTAGGAATCGAGATGTGTTTTAAGAGAGTGTCTAGAATCCAGGGACCCAAGGCCATGCGAACACTCTGGCTATGAAATGGCACTGAGATGAACCTCATCATTCATGTAAAATGGGGCTATATGACCTAATTGATCATTTGGTTGGATTTCCATTGACCATAGAAACAAAAATATATGCATATTTAAAAGCATGATAAATGTGCAAGAGGCTAACTCAGTTACTAAGTCAGTTGAGCTGAGATAGATTGAATTAATGTGTGGATATTGCTTATGTGCAGAAATAGCCATACTACAGAAGCCACAATACTTTGACTAAACAGGGGACTCACTCTCCTGAATGGGGAAGTTATTTTTACTGTCAGTGTTTTGGATGAAGGTAGACTCCTCATATAGAAAACTAGCTCTAAGATGCCAAGCTATTCATGGGCCACAGGCAGGAAAATAGAAAAACACTGAAGTATTTCAATGCTCAGAAAAGAGTTCCCTTGTTCTAGGGAATTGGATTCTGCCATGTGGAACCTACAAAGTGGAGACAGTTCCAGACAAAAGAAGACATGCCAGAGATTAAAGTAGAGCTATTTATGTGCATAACGCTGCTTGGCTTTACTTGTCTATAGTAATCTTCTCTTTCAGTGCTGTTCTAAGAACAACAAAGAAATTCAGTTACAAAAATTGGTCCATAAAGACAAAAGACAAGCCGTAGCAAAATCGACAAATGACAGAGATAGGCACATCTTCTCTGCTTCTATTACAGCAGGCTGATCTCTGAAAGCTGGGGTAAAGTTTACTAAGGGGCCAGTAGCCCTCAGTGTGGTATCTGGAAGACAGTGGGAATCGGGAGCCCACTGAAAGTTCTTAGTTCTTCCTTGTTCCTTCTGAATAGAAAGATATCCCTCATGGCATCAGCCCTAGCCATTTACAAGAATTTATCTCACAAAGGCAGTAAAGATGTTTGTTTTGGGCCTTAGCCATTGACTAAAACATAATTATCTCACCAGATAAACCATTGTCTATGTGCCAGGAAGTCATATAAAAGATAGCAGTCAAAAAGTAATGAAAGACGTGTCTTATTTTTCCTCTTCGTATAGCAGAGTTGGAAAGATGACTATGAATAGAAGTCCAAAGCTTGTGACGTCCTGGTCAGGGGAGTCGGATGTCAAATTGTGAAATCATGATTCCACTCTTACATTTTTAAAATCCACAGAACACTTGTGTAATCGCATCTAAAGTTCACCACAGCTTGCCATGACTCCTGTTCTTCAGATGAGTGAACCAAAGCTAAGATGACTTGTCAAAGTATATAATTGACTTGCCAAAGTCATATAACTCTTACAAATTGAGCCAGAGCAAGAGCCTAAGCCTTCGATTCTGGATTCCATGACTTTCACCTTTGTAACACCTATTTCTGCAGTAGTAACTAGGTGGAGGATAAGAGATGAGACTGAAATCTGGGCAGCTACTTAATATAAACATTTCCTTAATGTTCCTTTAGGGATTCACATGCTCCAAGCAATCTTTCCCCACTGAATAGAAACTATGTGACACATGTGAGAGAAAATATAGCACAAAAGACCCATAACAGAAATCCAAGCACTGGCATTGAATCCAGAACTCCATAGTACCTGGCTGAAAACCTTGCCTCGAGTAGATTATAGATAGCAGGTCATCATACTCCCCTGTTGCTAGATCCCCATGCATAAAGTAGGGAGTCAGGGGACTTGAGAACCTGGGCTGCTTTCAGATTCCTTTTTCAGTGTGGAATGAACATTGTACAAGTCTGTACTGGATGAGCCGTGAGAGATTAAGGTGGGGAACTGAGAAGGAGAATGTGTCCTTGTTCTGATGCAGCAAGTTTAGCTCTTGGCTATAGTCTGTTGGGCTGCGCTGGAATCCAAGCTGTGCCGATGTGTTGACATATGGGATGCCCACGGAGCTTTTCCTGACACCCAGTGAAGATGCTGGAAGCATAGCAGAGGAACAGGAATCTGTTCGTGGGTTAAGTTTGAGCCAGTGCCTGGTCACGCAGTGTTTTGCAGAAAAGACCTTAGATGTCATGCAAAAGATGCTTTAAGGGCCCTTGACTTTGGCTCAAAACCAAGCAGCAAGGGGTGCAAACATCTTGTGAGTAGCTGGAGTAGATAACATCTTTCTGGTAGGAAAAAAAAAAGCATCTGGCAGATCCAGCACCCACAGAATCTCGGAGAACAGTGTGCTGTTCCAAAACAGATGCTAGCTCTGGCAAGGACTGAAGTCAACGAAGTCTCGTCCCCCACCCTCCCCTTCAAGTCCCTCACCTGTCTCTGGGAAGTAAGTTCTCTGAGGATATCCATCTTGTTGAGTTGGGATTAACACATTTGTGTCTTTATTTTAATTTTGTTTTAATGAAAATCATACTTGGAAGCTAGCATTGAACGTATAGAAGGTGAAAACTGAAAAAAGCCAGCAACTTCTTTTTTAGATGAGGAATTAGAGGCTCTTAAGTGTGAAACTATTCACAAAAGGTCTAGACCATTAGTAGCAGAGCTAACACCAAGAGTTGCTTGGATAGAGCTTATTGTGCACCAGGCACTGTGAAGCACTTCACATGTTTGCTCTAAAGTTCATCAGGATACATCTACTTCTGCAAATAACAAATGTAAGAATTACAAAAGTAAAGTGATTCATCTAAATGTCAATAAGTCACCTTGATGAGTTTCTGCCCCAAGATATAATACGAGCTAGTTATCCTCGACTCAATTTATGCTCTAGGTTAGAGTTTCAGAGCATTCAATTTGCTGACTACTTTTCAAGGCAACAGAGCTAGAGAGCTGTAATTCCATAAGCTGTTGGTCATGGGGTAAAAGTAATAGTTGAATAAAGAAGAGAGAGAGAAACTGAGAATTCTCTCTCTTTGCGCTATTCTCTGTCTGTCTGTCTGTCTGTCTGTCTCTTCCAGGCATCTTGGATAATTATTAAGCTGAAGAAAAGTGTATTCTGACATTATATTTTTCTGTTTTGACATTTTTCTTATCTTCATTTCCTCTGGAACCCTTCTTTTTATTAAGAATATAATCAAAGATTACTAAGTATCTCAAAATATCTTCCATTTTAGAGCACTTCCTGTTTTAGCTCTCAGATCATTCTTTGAAAGCATCACCTATGCTGTATAACTCTTCTACTAAGTAAACTTCCATGCCTTTCCCTATCCTCCTTGATTTAGTGCGTCACTCTAAGAGTGGCTTTTAGGACCCTCCATTACATATACTCATCCTCCTTCTCATCCTGATTTTCTAGTGCCCTGTAAATAACCAGGACATAACCAGCATCCCTGAACTTTACTTTTCAGATTCACACATCTCACCTTCTGATCTCTGAGCCTTCACTTATTCTATCCCTTCTCAACACAGTAATAACTACTTCTTTTTATACTTCCTCTTCCACTATCTCTTCCACCAAAAACCCTATATGGCTCTCAAACTGCAGCTCAAAGACCATCTTCCATTTGCAGCTTTTCCTGTCTCATCTTCCCCAAACAGGATTTGTTTTCTTCCTTCTGCGAATTCCCATAGCACTTTTCTTTTCTGACTAATTACCATAAGTCAGGTTCCCCAAGAAGCATACTCTGGAGATTAGTACAAAGGAATTTTTTTTTTCATATTTGAGATTTGAGTGGTTGGAAAATATGGACCGCTCCATCTTCCCCAAACAGGATTTGTTTTCTTCCTTCTGTGACTTCCCATAGCACTTCTCTTTTCTGACTGGGCAAAAGAGGGTTCCCCAAGAAGCATACTCTGGAGATTAGTACAAAGGAATTTTTTTTTTCATATTTGAGATTTGAGTGGTTGGAAAATATGGACCGCTCATGAATTTGTGTGTCATCTTTGCACAGGGGCCATGCTCACCTTACCCGTATCGTTCTAATTTTAGCATAAATGCTGCCAAAGTGAGCGCTGTGTGAAAGGATCAACAAACCTGGAGAAGTGAAGGAAGCTGGACTGGGCAAAAGAAAAGTTGGGCTGCCATACTGTCTCTACAAGGAACATAGCCAGTATGATGGGGTAACTCAAGCTGTGATGGCCCTTCGGGATTGTTCTGAGTTATCCCAAGTGGATGAGGGTCTTTACCTCTCTCTCTACCAGTCATTGGAGCACTTGGGCAAGGACCAAGGGCAGTAGCACTTAGAGAGGATTACCTGTGACCTGTCTGCTGTCAACACTCCTGGGGGAATGGGTATTTCTCCCTGAAAAGGATGACAAAACATGAGGGGCACAGCACAGTATTCACTGCACCAATTTCTAAGGAATCTGGCGTTCTCTGCTTTACAGGTCATGTCGTTATCTCCTGGAACCTAGAAACTGTGTCCTACATATTTCTTGAATTTCTTGCATCTGTGAGTACGGTACACAAGAGATGTTAATCTGCCAAGATGAATTCATTCTGTGATCTTTCACAGAACTTTCACTTTAAAGACATTAATGAGGTATGTCAGACACATACTATCTCTTTTTCACACAGGAGAAAATTGAGGTATAGCGTGATCATTAGAGTTGGTCAGGGGCACAATTAATTTAAAAGTTTCGAGGAAAAAAACCTAGGTCTCAGGACTCGCAGGCCAGTTGTCTTTGGAAAAAAAAAAAATTCAATGAACCAAATACAAATAGTAGCTTAAAAAGGACTACAGTCCGGTCAAGAGTTAATAACCTTGCTCCCTAAACCTCTTCTCAAAAATTCCTGCTTCTGGACCTCCCTGAGGTGCCTCAACTTGATAAGTTATTAGACTTCCTTTTGGCACATATTCACATGAAAAGAGCCAGAACGTTCAACTGAGATTTAAAACAACTTTGGCCCATTGCCCAGGGCTCATGCTGTGGAGAGAGCAGAAAGCATCCTCCAGAAATCTTTAAAAACAATCACTATGGGGAAGATGACCTGAAGTACAATTACTGAAATCATTTTCAGGAGACTCTGCACAGTCATAAAATCAGGTGAAGTCATAAAGAACCCCTTTTGAAGACAACATCTCCTTCCCTCTCTCATCTTTGTACCCTATTCCAAACCCATACCTACACTATTACCATCCCCCACCCTAAATCACAGTTTTAGTGGAGAAAGTCACCTGTGATGTAGCCTATTTCTAGGAAAACACTGGAAAAGCCCCCGCTGCTTGACTCCAGCCATGTGTGTCAATCCGTTTATGTTGCATCAATGAGGCCTGTTAGCAGGGTTTCTCGTTCACTGCCATGCCTGTGAACCCCAGGAGACTGGGGCACAGAGTGGAGACTGCTGCTTCCACTACCTGCAAAGTCCCGTTAAGGACTTGGCTAGTAACTCCTTTTCTCTGGGTTGATTGATAATTGGACTGAGACATGCACATAGAAATTACATATAAGCACTTGTGCCCTGGCCTTATTTACTGAGTTGTTGGAGCAGTTCTATTCTTCCGTTCATTGTCAGGTCAATTGTCCTTAAATGTGACCTTTTCTATGTCATGCATCTGCTCAAAAACCACACTCCAGATCATAAGTACCAAATTCTTAGCCTAGACCTCCTGACCCTCCACAAACTAATTTCAAGCTGCTTTCTAAGTTCTACTGCCCACCTCTCCGTTGCACAAGTCCTGCATTCCAGCAAAATCATCCTCTAGGTTCTTGGATTAGAAGCACTTCCCAAGATTGCCAGTTCAGGTCCCTTCAAAACGCCCTGGCACTGCCATACACTCTATGATTCCCCAAACCCTGGAAGAGCCATCACAGAAACCAAAGGCCGTATTCTGCCAATAGAAACTATTCAATGGATTTCTAACTCTTCTCAATTTATTGATACATTTGTGTCAATTAATTCCCATGTCGCACTGGAGATGCCACTTCTGCCACTCACATTTTTCACAGAGACATATTCACATTTTATATTTTCACATAGATATCTCACACACATGCACACACCCCTTACATTTCACACCTGCACAGTTTTGTTTTGTTTTGTTTTTTGATATTCTTTTTTTTCCCTGCAGAGAGAAACAATTTTTTTATCTACACAGGTTGAAATCCTACTGAGACTTCAAAGTCCAACTCAGATGCTCTCTCTGCCTCGAAGACTTCTGGTGGCCCACTGTGTAACCCATACGTATTTCACATCACTTTCTGTCTTGTGTTTTTATTTGTGCTCATATATCATCCTGTCTCTATTAAATAGTAAGCTGGACCAAGGCAGAAGCCAGATGTCAACTTTTCTTCTGTTCCAACAATATCTGGCACAATGCACTGGACAAAGCTAACGTTCGACGAAAAATTGAAAAAGCATGAGGCATATCTTCTAAGAGTCACTGAAGTATATGAGAAAATAAATTTGAGGAATGCTTCAAAATATGTTTATTACCTTTTCATTGAAGTATGCCATATGTAAAATATACAAGTATAAAGATTGAAAATTAGTAAAAAAGTGATTAAAGGCATGTAACTAACTCCAACGTAAATATGTAGAACATGATTTACACTCTAGAAATAACCACCTCCCCTGACTCACAGTCAGTGGCCAAAAGTAACCACTATTCTGATTTCTATCATCTTAAAATTTTTTTCCTCTGTTTCTAAGAATGGAGTGGTAGGTATGAACCCTTATCGTCTATTTGTTTTGTTTTGTTTTGATTTTTACTCATTATTATGATAATAGATTTATCAGTTTGGTTACTTTGTAACCTAGTTCATTCTTTTTATTGCCAAATGATATTCCATTATATGAATGTGTAATGATTTATCAATGTTGATGGACATTCGGGCAATTTCTAGTGTTTAGCAATTATGAATAAAGCTGCTCTGAATATTTGTGTATGCATCTTTTGTGCCATTCTGTTACATATTTAGCAAGAACTGAAACTGCCAAGCCACTGTATATGCACATATTTAACTTTAGTTGATATTACCAGTTTCCTAATGTGGTTTTACTAATTCGAACAACCATCAATATTGTGTGAGAAATCCTGTTACTTTATTTTTCATCAATACTTGATATTGTCAGATCTTTAAAATTTTAGTCATTCAGGTAGGTGCATAGGGGTAGCTTGGTATGATTTTAATTGGCATTTCCCTGATGATAATGGTAAGGAAAAAATATTTTCTTATGTTTTTTGGCCACTTGGATAACCTTATTAGTGAAATGCCTATTTAAGTCTTTTGATATGTGTTTAAACTAGACTGCTGTATTTGTCTTATTAATTCGTAACATTTATTTATATATTCTGGGTATGAATTCTTTGTCAGACTTATGATTACAAATATCTTTCTTCACACTGTGGCTTGCATTATATATCTTTCTTAATGTGCTTTAATTAACTTTAATTAAATCTAATTCATCAATCTTTTACTTTATGGTTAAGGATTGTACATGTGTGCATGAGCATGTGTGTGTGTGTGCTCTTGATTAAAAAAATCTTTGCCAAATTCAGGATCATGAAGGTTTTCCTCTATATTTTCTTTTAGAAGCTTTGTAACTACCTTTCAATTTTAGGTCTAAGGTACATCTTGGATAAATTTTGGTGTATAGTGTGAGAAAAGTATCAAACTTTTTTCATCAGATATACAATTAATCTTGAGACATTTATCTACAAGACCACTCTTATTCCATTGGATTATCACAGTTCTTTACTATAACTCATTTATTCTTGGGTCTATTTTGGGGTATTCCATTATGTTCCATTTGTTTCTATGTCTATCTTTGTGCTAAAGTCATAGATTATAACTGTGATTTTATTGTTTTATTTTTAGATCTGTTAGTTAATGTCTTCCAACATTGTGTATCTTTTAGCTTTTCTTTGATACTTTTAGTCCTTTGGATTTCTACATGTATTTTAAGATTTAGCTTGCCAATTTCCACAAAAGTAGCCATATGTGATTTATAATTAGAGTTTTATTGTATTTATAAAACAGTTTGGGAAAATTTTTGATATATTCAAAATATTAAATCTTCAAATATGTGACTCTGGTATGTACTTCCATATATTTAGCTCTTTTGAAATTTTATCTCTATGGTAACATTTTATCATTTTCCGTGTAAAAGTATGGAATGACTTTTGTTAAGTTTAGTGTGAGGCATTGGTGTTTTTGGTGCTATCATAAGTAAAATGATTTCTAATGTGCAATTTCTGCTTGTTTGTTACTAATAAAAGAAATGATAATTAAAGTTTACATAACACCTTGTATCCAACAATGCTATATTCAGATATTACACAGGCTTTTTATCTATAGAATTCCTCCACATGAGTAATATACTCAGTGAAGTTGTATATGAATGAGTTACATTTTTTCAATTCACACTTTTCATTTATTCTTCCTGTTGTGCTGCATTTATAACAATTAAGAATATTGAATAGATGTGATATTACTGAATATCCATATCTCTTACCAGACTTCAGGGTTATCTTTAATATTTAATAATTAAATAAGATCTAGAAGGTTTTATTGTAGCTATAGTTTATCAGGTGATTAAGATCGTTTTTATTTCTATCATGGGTTTTTTCATTGGTGGTGAATTTTATTAAAGGCTTTTTATGTATCTACTGAGATATTCATATGGTTTTTATCTTTTATTCTATTAATTTGTAATTCATTTTGAAATATTAAACCAACATTTCATTTCTGAAATAAACTCAATGTGATAATAATATAGTATTATATTCTTATATTTCTGGATTTAATTTTTCAATATGTTGTTTAGATTTTCTTGTGTGCATGTTCATGAGAAATGTTGGCCTACAATTTCATTCTTTTTGTTGCATGCTTTTTGCCAAGTTTTGTGTTAAGGTCATGCTGGGCTCTTAAAACAAGTTTGCAAATGTTTCTTATTATTCTGTTCTCTGGAAGAGTTTGTTTAAGATTGGTGTTTTCTTTTCCATAAACGTTTAGGGGAATTCACCAATAAAGATATTTGTACCTTCAGATTTATTTGTGGAAATGTTT